CCAACAACAGTGCGTAGAGAGCTTCATGGAATGGGTTTCCATGGCCGAGCAGCTGCATCCAAGCCTTCCATCACCAAGTGCAATGCAAAGCTTTGGATGGCGTGGTGTAAAGCACGCCACCACTGGACTCTATAGCAGTGGAGACGTGTTCTCTGGGGTGACCAATAACGCTTCTCTGTCTGGCAATCCGATGGGACGTGTCTGGGTTTGGCGTTTGCCAGGAGAACGGTACTTGTCTGATTGCATTGTGCCAAATATAAAGTTTGGTGGATGGGGGATTATGGTGTGGGGTTGTTTTTCAGGAGGTGGGCTTGGCCCCCTAGTTCCAGTGAAGGGAACACTCAAGGCATTTTGGGCAATTTCATGCTCCCAACTTTGTGGGAAGAGTTTGGGGATGGCCCCTTCCTGTTCCAACATGACTGCGCACCAGTGCACAAAGCAAGGTCCATAAAGACATGGAGGAGCCAGTTTGGGGTGGAGGAACTTGACTGTCCTGCACAGAGTCCTGACCTCAACCCCATAGAACACCTTTGGGATGAATTAGAGCGGAGACTGCGAGCCAGGCCTCCTCCCCCGACATCAGTGCCTGACCTGACAAATGTGCTTCTGGAAGAATGGTCCAACCTTCCCATAGACACCCTCCTAAACCTTGTGGACGGCCTTCCCAGAAGATTGGAAGCTATTATAGCTGCAAATTGTGGGCCAAATAAATATTGAACCCTACGGACTAAGACTGGGGGGGGCATTAAAGGTCATGTGTGTGGAAAGGCCGGCGGCCCAATACTGCGGGCAATATAGTGTATAAAAAGTTCATTTATTTCAGTGCAGCAACTTAAAAGGTGAAACTAATATATGAGACTCATTCCATGCAAAGCAAGATAGTTCCAGCCGTGATTTGTCATCATTGTGATGATTATGGCTTACAGCTCATGAAAACCCCAAATCCACAATCTCAGAAAATGAGAATCTTGTGAAAAGGTGGAATAATCTCGGCTCAAAGTGTCCCACTCTAATCAGCTCATTCAGCCATAACGCCTGCAAAGGGTTCCTGAGCCTTTAAATGGTCTCTAAGTCTGGTTCAGTAGGAATCACAATCATGGGAAAGACTGCTGACCTGACACCATCACTGACACCCTCCATAAGGAGGGAAAGCCTCAAAAAGGTAATTGCAAAAGAAGTTGGATGTTCCCAAAGTGCTGTATCAAAGCACATTAATAGAAAGTTATGTGGAAGGGAAAAGTGTGGAAGAAAAAAGGTGCACAAGCAGCAGGGATGACCGCAGCCTGGAGAGGATTGTCAGGAAAAGGCCATTCAAAAGTGTTGGGGACTGTCACAAGGAGTGGACTGAGGCTGGAGTCAGTGCATCAAGAGCCACCACACACAGACGGATCCTGGATATGGGCTTCAAATGTCGTATTCCTCTTGTCAAGCCGCTCCTGAACAACAAACAACGTCAGAAGCATCTTACCTGGGCTAAAGAAAAACAGACCTGGTCTGCTGCTCAGTGGTCCAAAGTCCTCTTTGCTGATGAGAGCAACTTTTGCATCTCATTTGGAAACCAAGGTCCCTGAGTATGGAGGAAGAATGGAGAGGCACAAGGACCCAGAGTGTGGAGGAAGAATGGAGAGGCCCAAGGACCCAGAGTATGGAGGAAGAATGGAGAGGCCCAAGGACCCGAGTATGGAGGAAGAATGTAGAGGCCCAAGGACCCCGAGTATGGAGGAAGAATGGAGAGGCCCAAGGACCCCGAGTATGGAGGAAGAATGGAGAGGCCCAAGGACCCCGAGTATGGAGGAAGAATGGAGAGGCCCAAGGACCCCGAGTATGTAGGAAGAATGGAGAGGCCCAAGGACCCCGAGTATGTAGGAAGAATGGAGAGGCCCAAGGACCCCGAGTATGGAGGAAGAATGGAGAGGCCCAAGGACCCCGAGTATGTAGGAAGAATGGAGAGGCCCAAGGACCCCGAGTATGTAGGAAGAATGGAGAGGCCCAAGGACCCCGAGTATGGAGGAAGAATGGAGAGGCACAAGGACCCAGAGTGTGGAGGAAGAATGGAGAGGCCCAAGGACCCAGAGTGTGGAGGAAGAATGGAGAGGCCCAAGGACCCCGAGTATGGAGGAAGAATGTAGAGGCCCAAGGACCCCGAGTATGGAGGAAGAATGGAGAGGCCCAAGGACCCCGAGTATGGAGGAAGAATGGAGAGGCCCAAGGACCCAGAGTATGGAGGAAGAATGGAGAGGCACACACTGCAAGATGCTTGAAGTCCAGTGTGAAGTTTCCACAGTCTGTGTTGATTTGGGGAGCCATGTCATCTGCTGGTGTTGGTCCACTGTGCTTCATTAAGTCCAGGGTCAACGCAGCCGTCTACCAGGAGATTTTGGAGCACTTCATGCTTCCTTCCCAGACGAGCTTTATGGGGATGCTGACTTCATTTTCTAGCAGGACTTGGCACCTCCCACACTGCAAAAAGCACCAAAACCTGGTTCAATGACCGTGGGATTACTGTGCTTGATTGGCCAGCAAACTCGCCTGACCTGAACCCCATAGAGAATCTATGGGGCATTGCCAAGAGAAAGATGAGACACATGAGACCGAACAATGCAGAAGAGCTGAAGGCCGCTATTGAAGCATCCTGGTCTTCCATAACACCTCAGCAGTGCCACAGGCTGATAGCTTCCATGCCACGCCACATTGAGGCAGTAATTGCTGCAAAAGGGGCCCAAACCAAGTACTGAGTACATATGCAGCTTCTACTTTTCAGAGGTGCGATATTGTTCTATGTACAATCCTTGTTTTATTGATTGCATGGAATATTCTCATTTTCTGAGATTGTGGATTTGGGGTTTTCATGAGCTGTAAGCCATAATCATCACAATGATGACAAATCACGGCTTGAACTATCTTGCTTTGCATGGAATGAGTCTCATATATTATTTTCACCTTTTAAGTTGCTGCACTGAAATAAATCAACTTTTGCACCATATTCTCATTTTTCGAGTTTCACCTGTATGTGGTCAACTTTAGATTTACCAAACTATGTCATATAAGTGCAAGACAAGGAGGACTGATTCCCCAACCAAGGCATTTGGGCTTTTCTGGTTTATTTTAAGAGATATTTGAAAGTTACTTCCTTCATCTTAGAAGTCAACAGTCACTGCGTTCTGTAAACACAAATGTTCCTCTGTAGACTATGCGATAGAGAAGAACAATTAAACATTAAGCTCCAGGCGATCGTTCTAATTTTGAATGTCAGTTGCCAGCATCCTACAGTGGAATTTCAAGTTTATGATCTGTCAGTAAATGAAGGTGGAGATTGTAGCTGGGCGACGTATGGGAAGTGTACAGTAAGAAGAATAAAGTAGTTGTGACAGTACGAGAGGGAGCTGGAAGCACCTAGATCTGCTTAATTCTTCATCCTTCCGTGACAAATCTCTATCTTTTCAATTCTTCTACAGCAGAACAATGACTGGCACGGGGCAAGATCTGATTCTCATCTTGTGTCTCCTCCTCAGAAGAGGTGAGTGAATGAAGCACATCAATATTTTATCTTTACTCCACAAAAGTCACAGAAAGCTAGAAGATCGGCAGCAAAAACATGGTCCATTGAGTGGTCTGGCCTGGTTATTTGCTATTGTTCTTTTTGTATAGAACTGTGTCTATCTATAACACGCTTACATTCACTCATTGTTCCAAGAAACCACACCTTTCAGTAAAATAATACCTTCTAATGTTACCCTTGATTTCCGTTCAACAAAAGCTTTATTGTAGAGTAACTGGAGCGTGCAAAATCTGGTGCAGAAGCCAACAAGCTTCTGGGATTTATTGCCAAAGCTTAAATTGAACAAGCTGAAGTTAGAAGCTGATTGGTCGCCGTGCACATCTGCACCAGATTGTGAGTGCTCCAGTTTTATTATATCTATCCCAATGTATTTGAGAAGCAGTTGTTTGAACAACAAGCCATGCCGAAATCCAGCATATGTACACTCTACTTACGGTCCATCAAGATGAAAATACAACATAAATCATAGGCAACCAATTATACGAGGTTCAGCAGTGGGAGGCCTAGTGTGCCAGGGAGAGTCCCCGCAAGATGAGAAAGAGACATAATATTCATATTGGATCCTATAATTTGGCAGGTCAAAGCAAGCAACCAACCGATGAACAGGTCCTTAACTCTTAACTGTCCTTAATTCTCAAATGACTTGTTTCCAGTAAATGGGAACAAAGTGTCCTGGAGTCCACAGAGAAAAGAAATGTAATATGTCTCCAAATATGGAAAGGTTTCTTCACAGTGAGAGCTGTGAGAATGGGGAATAGACTCCCTCAAGAGTTGGTTGTGGCCAGCTCAGTGGATTGCTGTAGGAAAGTCCTGGATTCTTTCTTGGATACACAGAATATAACTGGATAGAACATTTATAGGGAAAGTTGATCCAGGGAATATCTGGGGGGATCAGATCAGAAAGGAATTTTTTCCCCTGCAGGAGCAAATTGGATTGTGCTTTGCTGGGTTTTTTGCCTTCCTCTGGATCAACTGTGGGTGTATGAGTATAACTTTTTTTTTTTTTTTTTTTTAATGGTTGAACTGAATGGACTTTTGTTTTTTTTGTCAGCCAGACTAACTATGTAACTATGGCAGGAGGGGCATTACATGCCCAATGATGTATCAGGTCGCAACTAAAAGATGGACCCAGTTACCCAGTTTACAGAAGGCACAAGATGAGAAAGAGGCATAATATTCATATTGGGTAGTATAATGTGGCAGGTCAAAGCAAGCAACCAACCGATGAACAGGTCCTTAACTGTCCTTAATTGTCAAATGGCTTGTTACCAGTAAATGGGAACAAAGTATCCTGGTAGGAGGGACATGCCCATCCATGTATCAGATCGGCAACTAAAAGATGGACTCAGTTTACAGAAGATTGGGGGGGAGGATTTTCCCTTAGGGGGTCTAGCAGTAGCCAGGAAAGGCACACAGATCGCATCTTTCAGTGCTCCATGGCATCTGTAAGGGACCGTCTGGCGGTACCTCTAGCACTGTGAGGAAGAACAACAAAAAGAAGCGCACCAACCTTGCGCATTACCTCAGTAACCAAAATTTATTGAATAAAAGAATGGTACTCACAAACAGCGAATAAAAACAGGCATGTAAGTCCTCAAAGGGACTTTAAAGGCAAGATGCGGGACAAGCCTTCTTCCTCAGAGCTCTGAGGAAGAAGGCTTGTCCTTCGAAATGCGTCAGCTGTACTGAGTGGCTTCCTCCATGATGGGATTCGCATTTGCATCTTGCCTTTAAAGTCCCTTTGAGGACTTACATGCCTGTTTTTTATTCGCTGTTTGTGAGTACCATTCTTTTATTCAATAAATTTTGGTTACTGAGGTAATGCGCAAGGTTGGTGCGCTTCTTTTTGTTGTTCTTCCTCACAGTTTCGTTTGGGCTTCCCCAGCCTTGGTGTGGAGCTGCACGACCTTGTCTATTTCGGTGGTTCCTTCCTTTTTTGGAGTTTATTCCATCTACTCACCACCGGTCTGGGTCCTGGAGCGCAGGAGATATCACATTTTGTTCATTGTGTTGGGTACCTCTAGCACTCCACTGGTCAGGTTTCCCCAGAGCGCGGAGTCTAAGTCCCGGAGCACTTGTTCACCAGGGCCCCTGATGGTGGGGATGGACTTGGAGCGCACCAAGACCAGGTCGCGACTACTGGGTACACCCATCAGTGGTAGAGGCGTCCGCCAGAGGCTCCCGCAGGGTAAGAGCCTGATATGAGGAGGTCAGGAGATCCCGACGGGATGGATGGATGAGAAAATGCAGGGTCAAACAAGCAGAGTCGGGAGCCATGGGGTTGGTGCGGTACAAAGCAGCGGGCAGAGAATAGTCGGGTCACACTGCAGGTCAGCAACAGTAGATCAGATCCAACAGGGGGCATCCAGGAGAGAGGTCAGGCAAGCCAAGGGTCAGAGCAGGAGAGTACAGCACAGTCAGGGACAATCCAGGTCAGCAACAATCAGAATTCAGGTATACACAGGATCAGGAACATAAAAAGACCAAACGGCAACCAGTGACAGCTCAGGGGGATTTAAATACCGCGCCCTGCGCTGTCATTGGTGCCAGGCGCGCACCCGTGGATCCTAGTGCACATGCGCAAGTTCCATCGCCGCGGCCGGCCCGGACCTAGCGCCCGCATCCCTGTGCAAGGCGGCGCACTGCGCCTGCGCTGGGACCAGCGCCGCGGCGATCCCTGACAGCATAAATTTGTTATACTCTTGATTTTCTGCTTGTTGGAGGACAACCCCAATGTGTCCTTTTCTCCATTCAAGAGCAAAGAGGATGTCCTTTAATTGTACATAATGGAAAACAGCCATAGAAATGCCACAGCTGTAAAAAAAAAAAAAAAAATGGAAACCATTTTATTCTCCAGGGCCCCTGCTTTAAAAAATGTATATATATATAATGGGCTCTAATGCATTTTTGAACAAGAAAATGCAGATGGGTACATCCTAAAGGCCAGGAAAGACAAAAAAATGACAAAAAGGACGGGAAGAGAGAGAGAGAGAAGAAAGCAAGGAAAAAAGTCAGGGTAGGGAATTTTCCCTTAGGGGGCCTAGCAGTAGCCAGGAAGGGTACACACGTCGCATCTCTTAGTGCTCCATGGCATCATGTTGTTATACTCTTGATTTTCTGCTTGTTGGAGGAGAACCCCATCCCCCTGCCTAAAAAAGGAACCCTGTAAAATGTCCATATTACTAAAATTGTTTGAAAAATAAAATAAAAATACAATATTTAAAAAAAAAAAAAATAACATGAAGCTACACAATTGTACAACACCTCACACATATAACCCACCAGAACCGAAATTGATTACAAAACCTGCAAAACCCCCAAAAAAACAATTGTCCGCACCATAAAATCTGCATGAAAAAAAAAAAAAAAAATTACTTTGCTCCAAACTACACAATTATACAACCACCTAAAAATAAAACATGCATATTAGAAACATTATAAAAAATTCAAAAAAAAAAAATCAATACTTCAGCCCAAATGTAATGTTATCATCCATCAGCAAACTCAATAGAGATCTGGATGACACGGACCCAGGGCAGTAAGCCATATACTGTACATAGTATGTGTTGTGTCATTTTACAAATAAACTCATAAAAAAATAAAATATATAAAATGTTTATATTACTATTAAAAAAATCTGAAATCAGATAACCCTCATAACCAGCACCACCCCACCCTACGCAATAAACTGACCCAAATAACGCCTGTGCAAAAATATGAAAAATATATGGAAAAATCAAAAAACAAAACAAAATTAAAAAAGTAGACATATAAATGCGTATGTTACAAAGTAGAAAAAGTTTGAAATTGATAATTCTAATAAACCATCATTGCCCCAACCAATAATAACCAAAATAACACCTGTTCAAAAAAAGTAAAAAATATGCAAAAATACTAAAAAACTTAAATAACGCCCCCGTTCCCCAAAAATTAAATTAGATATGTATTAATGTGTATTTTACAAAGTACAAAAATCTGAACATACCAAAAACCAACACATAAGCTCTCTGCCAGTTGTCCCTGTGTTATACTTTATGATCCAGCACTGGTACGGGTTACACCATCCTTCTCCTTTTGGAAAGCTTAGTATTTTTATCATTTTTATTGATTTACTGACTTTTTTAAATTTAAATTTGTTTGCATTTTTTTATGCATTTTTACACAGGCGTTATCTGGGGTTGGTGTAAAACAGTGTTTCTCAACTCCAGTCCTCATGGACCCCAACAGGTCATGTTTTCAGGATTTCCATTATTTCGCACAGGTGATTTGATCAGTTTCACTGCCTTAGTAATTACCACAGCTGTTTCATCTGAGGGAAATCCTGAAAACATGACCTGTTGGGGGTCCATGAGGACTGGAGTTGAGAAACACTGGTGTAAAGGATCGAGTTGGGATGGTATATAGGGTTTTCAATCTTTTGATTTTTGAATTTTAAAATATACACATTTATTCATATATTTAATTTTGCATGTGTTTATTTTGTGAATTACAATACATATATATATATATCTCAACTATGGGTATAGGATAGTGTGTATGGAAGGATTTTCAATTCATTTTTCCTTTTTGTGTGAACTAATATGTAACAGGGTGAAAATAGATGCATTTAGATCAGGGCAATTTTTGCCGTGAGGCAAACAAGGCGTATGCCTTGGGCGGCACTTTTCAGGGGAACGGTGCCACCCCCCGGAACAAGGGATGCTGGTTGTCCTGCGTCGTGCTGAGGAGGCTCCGCGGCAGGGGCGGACTGACCATTTGGAAACTCGGGCACTGCCCGAGGGCCCGGGGTCAGTAGGGGGACTCCATGAGATGCCCCTGGTACCTTTTTCATAGGCTTGTTTGAGTTTGGACAAGGACACAGGGGCCCCATGATCCCCTATTGTCCGGGGGCCCCATGAGTTGTCAGTCCGCCCCTGCTCCGAGAGGCATCGGGGTTGGCCGGCAGCTGGAAGAGTGGAGTGAGGGGAGCCGGGGAAGCAGCCTTGAAATTCAAGGAAGGGAGCCGGGTTTCAGGGGAGCTGTGATGGGGTGTCTCTCCTGGGTGGTGGTGGTGCGCAGGAGGGTCATGGGTGCGGGGGGCTGGTGGGTGACGGGGGTGGGGGATGTGGTTTTGCAGCAGATTTTTTGGTGTTGCCTTAGGGCAGCACAAATCCTAAATACCCCAGTGATTTAAATATCCTTTAACTATAGTTCTTCCACAGATACATCCTAAAGGAACGCCTCTCTTTTCCTTTGTGTTCCCTCTATCTCTGTGGGCTATGGGCATGGAGATATGGGGACCCCTGGTGCCTGCTTTGCACTAGAAGTCCCAAGAGGGTTCCACATTGCGTTTCTTTCATTTACCTTAACCACTTGCCTGCCCTCATACATGAAAATATCTGCATTTTTTCTTTTTCACTGGAAAATTACTTAGAATCACCAAACATTGTATATTTTTAATGCAGCGGACCTAGAAAATAAAATGGCGGGTGTTTCAATTTTTCATGTCACGCAATATTTGCACAGTGGCACCTTTTTTAAGAAAAAAAAAAAGAAAAGACTTTAAAATGAATTTCAGTGCACACAAACACAATGTAATACCCAATGTTTTGGTAAAAAATAAAAAGATGATGTCAGGCCAAGTAAATAGATACCAAACATGTCATGTGTTAGAATTGTGCACTCCCGTGGAATTGAAGCAAATTACATTCAATTATCCATAGGCATTGCTTTAAAAGCCTTTCCAGGTTTCCAGATTGGAGTTAAACAGAAGGTCTGGTGCTTGAATTATTGCTCTTTTGGAAAAAAAATAATGAATTTCAATGCACAAAAAAAATCATAATATAATACCCAGTTGTTTGGTAAAATATAAAATGTGATGTTACATGCCTAACATGTCACACTTTCAAACTGCACACGCTTGTGGAATGGCGACAAACTAGGGTGCTTAAAAATCTCCATCGGAGACGCTTTATAAGCCTTTACAGAGTTAAAGAGGAGGTCTGGTGCTACAATGATTGCTCTTGCTCTGATGCTCGCAGCAAGGGGCGGACTGACAAACTCATGGGGCCCCTGGGCAATAGGGGATCATGGGGCCCCTGTGTCCTTGCCCAAACTCAAAAAAACCTATGAAAAAACAAAAGGTACCAGGGGCATCTCATGGGCCCCCACTGACCCCGGGCCCTCGGGCAGTGCCCGAGTTTACAAATGGTCAGTCCGCCCTGGCTCACACAGCGATACCTCACAGGAGTGGTGCAATCAACATTTACATATGCGTGTGAGACCAACATGCGTGTTCTCAATTGAACATGAGCATGAGCGTGGAGGCACTTTAGCTTTTTAAAAGGCACGTTATTTTTATTTATTTTTTTAAATTTAATTTCGTTATTTCAATTTTTTTATTTTTTTACGCAGTGTCTTTATTTATTTTGCTTTGTGGGACACAGTATCTTTCATTTTTTATTTTTTGAGTATGGGACCTACATGCATGTTTCTCAACTGCGTGTGGGCATGGTTGGTGCGGGGGGGCACTTTAGCTTTTTAAAATTTAATTTAATTATTTCAATTTTTTTTTTTAACTCCGTGTCTTTATTTGTTTATTTATTTTGCTTGTGGGACACTGTATCTTTCATTTTTTATTTTTTTGTGTGTGGGACATACACATGCACGTTCTCAATTGCGTGTGAGCATGATGGGCAGGGGTCGCTTTAACTTATTTCAAATTCAGCTTTATTATTTATTTTAGTTAAATGAAATTTTTTAAACGAGTGTCTTTATATTACGATATAGATATATACACATACATACATACATACATACACACACACATATACATACATATATATATTATATATATATATATATATATATATATATTATATATTTGCATGTCTTAATTCTTTATTTATTTGCACGTGGGACACTGTAACTTTATTTATTAATTTCTTAATTATTGTGTGTGGGACCTACAGGCATGATTTCAATTGTGTGTGAGTATGGGGGAAAAAAAAGGGGGGGGGTGCTTTACCTTTTTTTAATTTAATTTTCTAATTTTTATTTTATTTTTTTCTTTTTTTTGCTTCACAAGGGAATGAAAATGCAGCATTGCATTTATCATCATGGAGTGAATGAAATGCAGCAGCCGGTTTTTAAAGGCGGGGTGCGGGTGGTTGTGTGGTGAGGGAGCAGGAGCAATTCCTGCCCCCTCAACCACCCGCAATAGTGTGAACCTAACCTTAATTTTTTTTTAATCAACTTTATTGCTATCACAAGAGATGAACAACATCCCTTGGGATAGCATGGGCTGTGACAGGTCCTCTTTATGGAGAGATCTGGGGTCTGTTGGACTCCATATCTCTTCTCTGCCCTCCAAAGCATCTGATCGAT